TAACAATGATGCCAGCAGCATTAACACAGAAAATAAGTCTAATCAGCTTGATGATGTCTAGGCAAAATGTTAAAGGTGCTATCTAGATTCTTCTTGTTGCCTATGGTAAACGAGCAGAAAGGCAAGCAAGAAGAATGTAAATGAGCCACAAATTTGGGGGTTTGAAAAATAATTTTTTTTTATTCCCAGCCTCTCCAGACAGTAAATGATGCTAAAATTAAATGAGTTCCAGAAAGAGCACAGATCAGGGAACTGTCAGGAAAATGAAGTCGAAAGATGAAGCCAAGGGCATGACTGTAAACCCTTTGTTGAGACTTCGGGAAGATTAAAGATGCTTTCTAGTCAACAGATGAGAGAGCGAGCTGCTCAAGTTCTTAAGGCTATTGTCCCACAGTAGTTTCACGTGGAAACCCAAAACAGAGAACAGTTCTTGCAAAGACATGCTGGGTGAGGCTTTTGTCTGATAGAGCGTATTATAAACTCAAGACAAGCTTACAAAGTTTTTAAAGGGGCTATTATCAGTTTGGATCAAATGTCACAGGATAACTTTAAAAAAAAAAAAAGATTTATTTGAGAGAGAAAACACAAGCAGGGAGGGGCAAGGGAGAGGGAAAGAATCCTCAAGCAGACTCCCTGCTAAGGTGAGGTCCATCCCAGAACCCTGAGATCACGCACGACCTGAGCCAAAATCAAGAGTTGGACACTTAACTGAGCCACCCGGGTGCCCCAAAATGTGACTATGAAATGAAAAGATGGGGGCACCTGGGTGGATCAGTTGGCTAAGTGTCTCCCTTTGGCCCATGTCATGATCCTGGGGTCCTTGTTTTGAGCCCCACTTCAGACTCCCTGCTCAGTGGGGAGTCTGCTTCTCCCTCTACCACCATTTGTGCGCGCTCTTGCTCTCTCAAATAAATAAAATCTTTAAAAAAAAAAAAAAAGGATGAACCCTCATATACTGCTGGTAGGAATGTAAACTGATGCAGCCACTTTGGAAAACAGTCTGCTAGTTCCTCTTGAGTACCCCATGGTGTAGCAATTCCTCTCCTAGGTAGATAATCCAGAAAATTTTACACAAATGTCCACAGCATCATTCATAACAGCCAAAAAGCAGACACAACCCTGAGCGTCCATCAACTGATAAATGGATAGAAAAGGTAGTAGGGCGACACGATAGAGTATCTTTAGATAAAAAGGAATGAAGCAGTGGTACGTGCCGTAACACGGATGAACCTTGGAGACACTAAGCGAAATACGGTCACAAAAGAGCACATGTTGTATGATCCCATCTATATAAACGCCCCAAACAGGCAAATCTATAGAGATAGGAGATCAGTGGCTACCTAGGACTGGAGTAGATGGGGAGGACTGGAGGGTGATAGCTAAAGGACACAGGGTGGGGCGCCTGGGTGGCTCAGTCAGTTAAGCATCTGCCTTCAGCTCGGGTCGTGATCTGAAGGTCACAATCTCAGGGTCAAGTCCCGCATCAGGTTCCCTGCTCGGTGGGGAGTCTGCTTCTCTCTTTCCCTCTGCCGTCTCCCCACCTGCTTGTGCTCTCTCTCTCTCTCACTCTCAAATAAATAAAATCTTGAGAAAAAAAAAAAAGGACACAAGGCTTCATTTTGGGTGATGAGAATTCTAAAATCGATTGTGGTGATGGCTGCACAACTTGGCGAGTATATTTAAACCACTGCCTTGCACACTTTAAATGGGTGAATTGTGTGGTATGTGAATTACAAATCAAAGTTGTTACCAAGAAAGTGAAAAATGAAAAGTGGTCTTTGGACCCTTGAACTTCTATGAACAAGCACGCTGAGAAAATTTAGCAAACATGGGCTACATTTTATGAAAAAAGAAAGATAATTCAAGAGCCCAGAGAGGGGCCCAGGCAGTAGGACTGAACATTAATGAAGGATTTGACAACATGTACTCAGTTGGGTTCCAGAATTGCTACAAACCGGGGCTTCCTTGTGCCTCCAATTTTTCCCTTTTTTGAGGGGCACTGTCTACTGCCTGCCTGTTTCACCTCACCCATTGTTACCTTCTGGGTATGTGAGGACAAGATAACACATCTCTTCAGTTCAAAAGTCTTCAGATCAACATGAACTGTCCTTGAAATGGACTCAAGGAACTGCCTTTAAGGAGTGAGCGGCATCCACCTTTTTACGTGATTTAGATGACAAGATTTACAATGTGATGCTCCAAATAGATGAAATTTGGGGGAAGGAGGTTCTTGGGAGAAAGTCTCTTCTGTTGTGTGTGTTGAAGGAATATAAATAACTCATGGCCAGGGGGTGGACTGTGGTGACTTTTAAGACATGTCCACTTACCATCAAGAGGTGGGGTCTAGTTCATCTTTCTTTGAATACGGGCTCTTCTCAGTGATTTGCTTCTGATGAACAGGACAAGGTAGAGGTGATGCCACCTGATACGGAGCTAGGTCTTGAAGTCCTATGGCTTCCATTTCACTTGCTCTCTTGGGCTGCTCACCCTTCGAACTAAGCCACCATATTGGGAGGAAGCTCAAGCCACCTTGGGTAGATTGGGTGTAGATGTTTTCCAGCTGACTGCCCAGAACCTACCACCAGATAGGTGAGCGAGATGCCTTCTTCAGATGATTTCCACCTCAGCCCTTCAGCCATCCCAGCTGTCACCGAGAGCAACACTGACAAGCTTTCTCTACTGAGCCCTGCCCAAATTGTAGATCTGTGAATAAAATAAATATTTTAAGCCAGGTTTTACAGTGGTTTGCTACCCAGCAATCAATCACTGGAACAAAGGACTGACGGCATGTTGGAAGTAAGAGAAGAGGAGGAATCAAGAATGTTTACCAGATATTCTAGGTTAAGCAAATTAATATAAAGCAGCAGCAGCTTGCCCTGCAGGGACTGTCGACCTGTTCACAGCAGCAATAAGTTACCAGTGTTTGCATAGTGTCCGCTGGGGTACTGGCTGCACACAGCTACTTCAGAGGAGATGAGTGTCCATGAGATTTCCTTTTTTTTTAAAAATTTTTTAAATTTATTTATTCATGATAGTCACAGAGAGAGAGAGAGAGAGAGAGAGAGAGCGGCAGAGACACAGGCAGAGGGAGAAGCAGGCTCCATGCACCGGGAGCCCGACATGGGATTCGATCCCGGGTCTCCAGGATCGCGCCCTGGGCCAAAGGCAGGCGCCAAACCGCTGTGCCACCCAGGGATCCCGAGATTTCCTTTTTAAAGCCTATGATCAATTCGTCTGATAGTAACAACATGATTATTCTCCAGAAGCCACAACAGTATCAAAGGAAAGAAGCTGGAAGATAGGTTTGGAAGAGCTAAGACAAAGCACAGCGATGAAGTGGCAGAAAAATGATTTTATTTTAGCAACTGGAAGTCACTATTAATCAGCACCTCTTATTTTGCTATTATGATACTGATGTAATGATTATTCTTTAGGACTCTTACAACCAAAATCAATATATAAAGTGTAAGTATACAAATATAAATATATACATATATCGCAAATGCCTCTGAGCCTCAAACTGACTCCTAGGAGTTCTAATAATAATCAAATACCACTGGTTTCAGCTCCTCCCACTTCCTGTTATTTTTATTTTTGTCCTAATCTTTTATTTGAATAAAAAGAATAATATAATGAACCCATACACACCCATTACTAAGCATCAGTAAGTTTGATGTTTCTCCACTCACTTTCCCCCCGTTATTTTAAAGAAAATTCAAGACATCCGTCATTTCGCCTGAAAATTTCAGATGCATTTCTAGATGGTAAGTGCATTTTAAAAAATACTACCAGCACACCATTATCACACATAACAGAATGAGCAATTCCTATCATCTAATACCCTGTCCATGATCACATTTCCCCCATTGACTCCACAGTATTCTTATTCAAATCAGGATCCAAACAAGGTCCCCATATTGCATATGGCTGTAATTTCTCTTGTCTCATTTATTTCATAACCATTTCTCCTCCTTTTTATTAATGCCATTGATTTGTTGGTTGAACCTTATGTCATTCTTATGTTCTGGATTTGGTTCACTGCTTCCCTGAGATGAGTTTAGCTTGTTCCCTAGTACTCATATTTTCTGTAAATGGCAGTTAGATCTGGATACATGATTAGGTTCAGATTCAATTTTTAGGCAAGAATATTTCATAAGTAGGTGCTGTGTACTTCTTTCTGCATCATAACATGAAACTTGTAACATGTGGCTGTCTCAATTTTAATGATGCTAAAACTGAATAAGGGTTTAAGTTATTAGCCTGACTTCTTGCTTATAAAGTTCTCATCAACCTCTTACCCGATGCTCTTAGCATCCAGTTATGATTTTTGTGAGGTCGGTTATTTCATCAGGATTTACAAAAATGGTGATTTTTCTAAATTTATTTTTCCTTCTTCATTTATTAGCTTTAATTTTTCCTTTGACTAGAAACTTCATTAACTCTTAAGTTACACTAAAATGCATTGTACTAGAAAAGAGAATGCTTCATTTTTTTCTTTATCAATCTGCCGACTTAGTGATCTAGCAATCCCTTTGTAATCAATGAGTTTCCTTTATTTTTATTTATTTATTTCTATTTTTTTATTTTATTTTTTTCCTTTATTTTTAAAATACCATTATGAACTCTCAGATTTTAATGTATTTTCACATGTCTCGCTTTACTCTTTCTGATCCTCGGATTTCCCATTTTAGATCAATGGGAGCCTCTAGCAGTTGGTTTTTGTGTCCTTTTGATGTGTGATCTCATGAGTCTGAAAACTTGCATGTCCCTGGCGTAAGATACCCTAGGTTCATCTTGTACATTTCCCGCTCCAAACCTGGAATCAGCTATTTTCTCTCCGGATCTTTTTCAGAGGAAACTATCTGATGCCTCCTGTCTTCACATGGTAGATCTCGGAATGTTTTGGTTTCCATGGCACACCCATTCTGTATTTAGAGGTTCTAAAGGTGCACAATAAGTAACTTAATCCCTAATGGTTACCTTCCCCTTCTTCCAAGCCCATGACTGAAAGATTGTTAGTAAGAGCACTGAAGGGTGGTAAAGACACCAAGATCGTTACCTTGAATGGGAAGGGGATAACAAAGATGCCCTCAGCATTAAGTAAGCTGCCTGGCCTGAAGACTCTAGATCTCCAGAATAACCAAATCCGCAAGGTGTGCCCGGAGATAAGCACCTTGACCCAGGTGAGGAACAGCGTATCTTTTTGGATTGAGGTTGGAAAATAAGGAAGAGAGAAAAGAGGTGAGAGAAAAATAAAGCTTTGATATCTGGGGCCTTAGCTCCCGGGAGACTTACTGTGGAGTGTTGTTGGAGAGGCATCAAAAAGCTTTCTCCCGTAGGGGATTATTACATATGGTAGGGAAGAAGATGTTTCAGCTTATTGGTGTGCATAGCTGGAATCGGAGGATTAGGTCTCTGCCACACTCATCTTTCTGGAGGCTGTCATCTGGAAAAGGGTTGAGAGCCTGGATCTGCTTGTCTACCTTGGGGGCTCCATCTGGAAGTGGGATTGAGGGTCCCGGAGATGCTGTTCGCCCTGGAGACTATCCTGAAGCTTCTGCATATGGAATGAAGAAACCTTGGATGTAGCAAGGGGGTTCCTTTTCAATTTCCTAGGGCGGGCTGAACTTTGAAATGGGAGTGCTGGCGGGGGACGGGAAGGGGGACACATTCATTTCTTCTGAAGCAGTCTTTAAAAGAAGGTTAGTATTTTAAATAAAGAATACCCTTCTTAAAGAGCAACAGTTGACACGAATGAATCCCAGATGCCCCTGTTAAACGTTTCTGCCCAAAAACGCGAAACTTCAGCTGCTAAAGATCTTGAGGTTGGGAGAAGGCAAGGGGTATTAGTTTTGCAGTTTTCTTTGTATTCACTTCTAAACTGTCACCGAGCGCTGAAAGAACCTATAACAGTAAAGTCACTGGAGTTCATTAGTTTTGAATTCAGAGTTATCAAAAAACAAAACAAAACAAAACAAAAACAAAAAACAAAAAACAAAAAGCCACACACACACACACAAAACCCAAACTTTATCTTCTTACCTTCACCTACCTCATTTCCTTTCAGAGTCATAAAATTATTTGAACTTGTAACCTGTGGCCACATCTTTTCAAAAAACAGAGTAATACAAACTCCTCCCTTTAATGGTCACTTTCAAAAGTGGTTACAGGACAAAGATTTGGACTTTTCTAATAGGACTGAGGAGTTTCTGTGCAAAAGAATCCAGGGTTTGACTGGGCCATGAGTTAATTTTCTCCTACTCGATTTTTGTTTCCCATTAAAGTAACCCAGTGCGTTGTTTTAAGAGAATCGCGTACTGCAGAAGGCTTATAATAGAAAGCTGCTATCTTCTGTTCCACTCTCCCTCACCCCAAAACCTGATCTCCATATATAAACATTTTTCACTCATCTTTTTTTCCTTCATTTGTCCATTTTAGGTATCACTCTCCTTCATTCTTCCAAACACCATTGGTATACTTCGTTTCTCCATCGTTTAGACTTGCTACACCTTCGTTTCTTCTCTTCCCAACGGCAGTCTCTTTTTACTCTGTATGATGACTGCGTCAGCATCTCTAATCCACCTTCAGCTCTCCCTCCCTCCTCCTCACCAGAAATTTTAAACTTGTTACTTTTATAAGATGTCACCACTTAGGCCGCATCCCGTTAAAACCGTGGTTAAATATTTGTCTCTTGGAGAATTCTGAAATGTGTCTCATTAATTAAATAACCTTCATGCAGAGTTGATTAATGTCTCATGATTACATTTTCTTCTTCATGTACCGTTTCTGTTGCCTTGGAGTTTCCATTCACCTTTCTTTCATTCTGCGTCTTTTGCCTTTGTCATGGCTTCCTTTTATTTCAAACTTGATTATCTTACGTGTTCTATCAAATGTGCTTTTCCGTGGAGTGACTTCTCCCCCAGGGTCCCCGTCCTCCTGCCCCGGTCTAAGCTGATTAGCATCTAGGTTTGCTGGATACTGAGTTGAGGGCATCACTTTGTGGTTTCCCTGAGTTGGACCCATTGTTTCCTCTGGCCCATATTTTCCACTTTCTTAGTTGCCTTTCTTATTTTGTAAGAGTAAGCCTCCAGGTGCCATCCTCCTCCAGGTATGTGGTGGTTCAAATTTTTTTTTTTTTTTTAACTCTTACATGGCTCAAAGTTTTATGTATTCTTTCATGTTTGGTCAGTAGCTGTTTAGTAAAAAACATTAAAGACTGTAAAATACATTTCCTCAGGGAAAAAAGCCTGAGTCTGATTATCCTTACTGTGTCATCTTCTCATAGCTCCCCCAGTCCTTTCCTCCTTATCCTTTTATTTATGAAAGTCCTTAAATTTTGACATCTGTTTGCTCACAACTTCCTAAAATAGGGAGCTGGCTAAGCTCAGCCCTTACTTTTTTTTAAAAAATAATTTATTTATTTGAGAGAGAGAGAGAACAAGCTGGGAGAAGGGCAGAGGGAAAGAGAGAGGCAGGCTCCCCACTGAGCAGGGAGCCCGACATGGGGCTCGATCCCAGGACCCCAAGATCATGACCTGGGCTGGAGGGCTTCAGGCTTCACCGTCTGAGCCACTCAGGCGCCCCTCAGCCTTTCTTTTCAAAGAAGAATTCAACTGATTTAGAAAGTAGGCTTCCTGTGGTCTACCTTTAAAGCGCTTTGCAAGTCAGATTCAGGCAAATGCCATTATTATTCAGCTGTTCATGAACTAGCAATTTTTTTTTTCATGTAGCGTCTCCCCAGTTGTGGAATTTTGAAAAAAAGTCAATCTCCACTTTATAATGGAAGTTCTAGAAGCAGCTTGAATAAAATGTGCTGGAAACCTTCCAAAGATATAGATTGTTCATATAGTTCAGAAATGCTGCACATCGTTCCCATAGTTTCTAGCAGAGCGGACAGGTGATAGTTTCAGAAAAGAGAGAGGTAAGAGGGGCTGCTCGCCCTGGAGGAGCATTTGGGAGACCTGGATATCTTAACTGGTTCAGCCACTTACCAGCTAAATTAAAGATGCTTGATCCCCCTGGGTCTCAATTTCTGCCTTCATTTACTCAATCCGTACCTAAGTATTGAGCACCATCTGTGTCTCAGGCACTAGGAACTGGTGATTCAGCAGCAGATGAAAATCCCGGCCTTCGTGGAGCTTCCATTCCAGCCAGTAGAGCTGTAAGAAACAATCAAGCAGAACAAGCAGGACGCAAGGCAGTGGTCACTGCTAGGGAGAGGACAGCAGAGAAGGCAGGTAGGACATGTGGCATTCCAGCTGACACGTGGAGGACTGATGGAAGCCACAAAGTGTCCTCGTGATCTTTACAACCCGGTGATAGGTCTGTCATAGTTCTAAGGTCATCATTCTTATTCTGATCATTTTCTAATAAAACCCGATTGTTTTTTTTTTTTTTTAAAGTTAGTTTGAACTCTTTCTTGTATTCCTTCAAATCCTATCTTTTTATTACAAAGTATTGAAAGTATCCCCCTACCGGGCAGCCCAAGTAACTCAGTGGTTTAGCCTCGCATTCTGCCCAGGGCGTGATCCAGGAGACCCAGGATCAAGTCCCACCTCGGGCTCCCTGCATGGAGCCTGCTTCTCCCTCTCTCTGTGTCTGTATCTCTCTCTCTGTGTGTGTCCCTCATGAATAAATAAATAAAATCTTAAAAAAAAAGAAAGTATCCCCCTACTACATTTTGCAGGGGGGTGGGGGGGTCCATACTGTGCTTACCTTTTGGACTAGACTTTTTTAAAAATTATTTTTATTTTTATTTTTTTAATGATTTATTTATTTATGATAGAGAGAGAGAGAGAGAGAGAGAGAGAGAGAGAGAGGCAGAGACACAGGCAGAGGGAGAAGCAGGCTCCATGCCGGGAGCCCGACATGGGACTCGATCCGGGGACTCCAGGATCACACCCTGGGCTGAAGGCAGGCGCCAAACCACTGAGCCACCCAGGGATTCCCCCTAGACTTTTTTTTTAAATCATCGTAGGAAGTCCGGTTTGCCCCAATATTCTGATATTTGGTCATATTTTCTACAAAATATTAAAATAATTTCGATATTTTTCAAGTCGCTAAAGCAAAAATGATACTTTTAAATTTCAGCACTCGTATAATGGTATCAAATAGAATAACAACATCAATCATTTCTTGAGAGCCAGGCACAATGCTAGCAATTGTGTTCATATTCAAGGAAGTTACTACCCTCACGTTGTTCATAAAATGCCCGTATGGTTCAGTAAGAGGTTAGGTCACTTGTCAAGGTCCCTCAACCAGTGAATACATCTATAACATGAAGTCTCTTTCGAGGTTGCTTTCAGCTCTGTTTCATTATTTATATACTTAGTGTAAAATTTGTCAGGGTGGGGTGTTCAATTTGTAGTTCTAAAAAGAAAAACTGGGGGATCCCTGGGTGGCTCAGCGGTTTAGCGCCTGCCTTCAGCCCAGGGTCTGATCCTGGAGACCTGTGATCGAGTCCCATGTCAGGCTCCCTGCATGGAGCCTGCTTCTCCCTCTGCCTGTGTCTCTGCCTCTCTCTGTCTCTCATGAATGAATAAATAAAATCTTAAAAGAAAAGAAAAAGAGAAACTGGGTTGCCTAAAGATAGTAGGTTTGATTGCCACATGGATTGACCCTGCTTGACCATTTGTTTACATATGAGTTTGGTCTTCTTGGGTCTGTGCTGGTCCCAAGGATGCAGATGTGGAAAACACACGAACACCATCTTCTTGTTTGAGGAAGAAGCTAAATGTTGATAGAGGGGAAGCCCAATGCCCGGCACAGAGGAACTTTTCAAAGTTACAGCTGCTCTTACGGTCACTCTTATACTTGTGGTGTAAGTGGCAACTGGGGCAAAACGGGAGGAGGTTCTTTAGAAAATACGAGATCCTTCCTCTTCTTTCTTTGCTTATTTGACTAGTGAAACTTGGGGACATTTCAATCCCTTCTGATGACATGGGAAAGAATGAGTTGATGGCCGGTCGTTCGGGTGGGAAGTGCTGGGATGGCAGCAGCGCTAGAGAAGCTCTTCCTCTGAGGCCCTGGTGCGGGGCACCTGGTGAACCACAGCACATGGCCTTGGGCGGTGGGTGGAAGCCCTTTGCAGGGTCCAGCTTAACCAGCTTCCCCAAGATAGCCGGCATCTGTACCGGTGCGGGCCCGGGCGTAGGGGCCCCTCCAAGGCTCGCAGGCCCGGCTG